ACACGCCCCAACCCACCCACCGCTAGAGGCCCCATTCTGCTCTCTGTGGGGTGCTGCTGGCGCCCGAGATATGGCCAGGCAGAGAGCAATGCCCCTTTCCATGCCACCCCACCCCACAGCATGCACCGCCTGCCTCACCATCCTCTCCACTAGCCTATCTGGAGAAAGTGGTGTGTAACGTCAAGAACCCGGGTGGAGCAATGGTGAGGCACCTGGCTGCCAGCCGTCAGGAGGGCACTCAACCCACCCAACAGCTCCAAGGGAAGCCACGGAGCCAGGGAGACCCAGCCCAGCCCGTTGGGGGCGTGGTCTCACCTTGAGAATCTCATTGGAGCCGAAGCCGGACAGCATGAGGGTGTCCCGCTCCATGTCCAGGATGGCACAGGCCACCAGCAGGTGCAGGTTGGGCCCGGGGAGCCCTGTCCACAGCACCTACAGAAGGGCGGGTCAATGCACAGGTGGGGCCCCACGGACTCCTCCCACAGGCCACATATCTTCTCCCTCTCCAGCATTGCCCCTACCCCGACCCCTTTCCCAATCCCCAAGCAGGAAGCAGCCCCTGACCTCCCACAGCCGCAGGACGTCTGGGAAAGGGAACTCCCTCTTGAACCAGATGAGCAGCCACCGGAAGCAGAAGCAGAGGGAGCCGGAGTCCTGGGAGTCTGCCGGAGGGAGGGAGGGAAGGGTGAGCCCACCGCCAGGGCGCCCAGGTCCGGCCAGGGCGTCCCCCTCCCACATGCCCAGCCAGGCTCACCGGCGGATGCTCACTACAGACCAAGTCCCAAACCAACTCCGGACGCACGCAGTGTAAAGCCCCCACCCACTTAGAGATCGCCCACTGGCGCGAGCGAGGCTGTGCTCCGGAAATGAAGCAGGGCATCGCCTGCCCAAATTCAGATGCCGTGTCCTGCGCCATTAGTTTGCTTTCAGAGCCGGGAGACAAAGCACAAGGGCACACGTCAACCCCTGGGTGCTGGAGCCCGTGGAGGGAGACGGTTCGGTGAAGAGCTGCCCACGGGGTACCAAACGCTGTCCATCTTTCCGGAAGCCAGGTCAACAGCCCGGAAGTGGCCTGCTCCTTCTTTCTCCTGAGGAGCAGCTGGGTACGTTCAAACTGCTGACCTTCCGGCTATGCAACCGCACGATTAACTGCGGCAGCACCAGGCCTCGTCTACCCTTCCATAAACTGCTAGCATCAAAATAAGTCGTTGGCGCATTTCTGGGAGATGATGACGTAAAGAAACTACCCGCAGCGTCATGAGAAAACTCCCACGTCCAATGTCCAAGCGGTCAGGTTAAGTAAACTGGACCCACTGGCCGCTCCAGGGGGGAGAGGAAGTTGTCTGCTCCCGGGGAGCCCTATGGCTCCACAGACCTCCAGGGCCAATCCTGGTGCCCCACGGGGTCGAAACTTGACTTGGGGGCAGTGAATTTGGTTTTCTGAGTTCAACTGATTGTCAAATGGATGCCATTCCAACGTGGCCCACGCGTCTGTATTTGCTGCGGTCTTGCTCCAAAGGGCAATCCTTTTGTGTACACGCACGTGCGGGCTTTAGCTTCTGATAGGAGTCAGGATCTTTATATGTGAAACCGGGGACAAACGTCCTGAACACCCTCTGGAGCCAATGGCACAAGTCCCAGCCCTCAGCCGCCCTGCCCGCCTCCTGCTCCCTTAGACGCGCACCCAGGAAGTCACACAGAGATGGGTCCAGCACCCTCAGGAGCAGCAGCAGTTGCCCGAGTTGTCGCTTCATGGTCTCCTGACTCTCTTCAAAGTTCCCGTGCTGGGGAGGGGGGGGCGAGGGGAAGGGAACACGTGAGCAGCTGGTGACTCTTCGGCGGGGAAGTTGGCACCTGTCTCCCACCACCTCCCTGCCTCTCACCACCAGCTCCATGTAGCCACAGAAGCACCAGAAGGCGTCCACTTCGCTCTGGGTGACGTAGAGGATTGGGGAGAGGAGGTCGCTCATGCCCTGGACATAGCCTGGGGACAGATGGGGTCAAAGTTGGGTCAGTCCTTGTGCCCCAGGCTCCTGCCCCCACCCCACCACCCCCGCTCCCCGGCTGGGCCCGCACCCAGGTCGAAGTGGTACATGCAGTAGGTGAGGAGGATGTCGTTCAGCAGGCCCAGCCCGGGGTTCTCAGGGCCCTCGTAGAATCTGTTGTTCCGGTCAGTGCGGCTCACGTCGCGCTCTGCGGGACAGGCAGGGGCGGGGTGAGGGGCCCCCAGCGTCCGCACCTCCTCTGGACGCAGACCCCATCCTATGGCTCATTTCGAGCTAAGATCACTCCCATCCGGGTACACACACAGCACGCCGCACCCCCGGGGACCACGCCACGGCTGCGACTCACGGGTTGCAGGCTGCCAACCTTTCAGGTCGCAGCCGAGCACCCAACCGCCGCGCCACAGGGGCTCCTCCTATACCCAGCTACCAGTGGGGAGACGGAGGCTAAGAAGGAGTCCCGAGATCCCTGCCAGCTGGTGGGCAGCGGCTCTTGGACGGATTCCTTCCCCACCTCCCCGGCGCTGCGCCTCCCCCTGCAGTGGCTGCAGCGGGCACCCACCGATGAGGCTGCGGTAGCCACGCAGCAGGGAGTTCCTCCGCTCCTGCTCGGGGCTCACGGACTTCCACTGCAGCTTCATGCGGAAGTACTCGTCCCTGCGGGGCGGGCAGGCGGGGGAGGTCCTTGTGAGGACCACTCCCTACAGGGGGGCCTGGCGCACTGTTGAGGCTCAGCTCACAGGTGCCCTCAGACCCAGGCGGGCCACCCGGTCACTCCTGTCACTGCCCCTGCCGCCAAGGCATCCCCACCACACAGCGTGTCCTCGAAGCATCTACAGAAAGCCCGAAGCACCCAACAGCCGGAGCTGAGATGTTAGGGATCGAACGGTGTCCACCCCGCCTCAATAGGCAGGGACTTTAGAAAAATGAAATCTAAAAGAAAACGATGGGTGTTTCCTAGGGACGTGTTAACATCCCTGCTGAGAAAACAGAAGCAAAATAAAAACCCTCACTGCCCGCTGAACTGGTTTCTTCTCCTGCAGACCCTACAGGAAGGACAAAGCAGACCTGCCACGCTGGGTGCCCGAGGCCGTGAATTTTTCTGGGAGCAGAGAGCCTCATCTTTCTCCCTCCATGGGGCCGGTAGTTTCCAACCGCTGACCCTGTGCTTGGAAGCCCAGTGTGTAACCTGCTGGGCCCCGGGGCTCCTGGTGCTCCAAGACCTGACTTTCAGGCCTGGGGTGTAGTGGCGACAGATTGGGTTACTCACCACAGGGTTAGGAGTTCAAAACTACCTGCCACTCGGAGGGAGGAAACCGAGGCTTTCCATTCCCCTAAGAGTTACAGCGTCGGGAAGCCACAGGGGCAGTTTCACCCTGTCCTGTCGGGGTCCCCTGTCAGAATCACTAGCTGTCAGGCAGTTTGGAGGGATGCTGGTTGTCACAGCCCCACTGGGAAGGGGTTGCCTTTGTTAAGCTAACAGTGCAGGCTTCTTCATATATACAGTGTAGCTGAGATGATTTAAAACGACAGAGATGAGGAAGGTACATGCCAAGCCACTTATCCACCTGGAGACCCTCGGGTACCAAGAAGCAAAAACTCAGTAGAGAGAAGGGCCTTCCTCCTGAGCCAACAGCGAGAGAAATCCATCCCCAAGAGCCAGTACCCTGAATTCGGAAAGCCTCCCACATTTGTGAGAAAATAAGTTATTGTTTGCTAAGCCCCCACTCCCCTCTCTTGTGGTATCTATGTGATAGTAACACTGGAGAACTAAGCAGAGGGGTGGGCGCAGGTAGGGAGGGGCCAGGTCATCACAGGCATTGCTGCATCCCAGGTACACAGCAGGTGTGTAGGTAACGGAAAGGCAGAGGAAAGAGCCTGACAAGGTTGCAAACATATTTCAAAGCTGCGGTGACTCAAACAGCATGGCACAGGGAAGAAAGCCTTGTGTCACCCACTGAGCACCTACTGAGAGGGTCAGGGAGGGAGGTGGGGTGTGTGTGACAAATATGAAGAAGCTACGGTGACATGTTGGAGGGGAGTTTCTGGTGCCAGGGCCACTTGGGAGACCCATCCCTGACCAACCTGGGAAAGAGGACAAGTGAGACCCTGTGCTCCTGAGGGATGGGTGCCTACTGGGGCCTGTGCACCCGCCAGCTCCGCCACCACGCTGGGAAGTCAGTGCCATCCCAGACTCGGTGTGGCCCACTCACGTTTTCTGGCGCACATGGGCCTTGTGCTCCTCGGCAGAGCCCCCCCAGCTGAGGTACCCCAGGAGCAACTTCCAGGCTTCTCGCCTTAGGCTGGGGCTTAGACCCTGAGAGATTCGGAAGAGAGCAGACAGCTCAGAGTGGGTGGTGCCCCGCCATATCTCATTGCCCCACAAAGGCAAGCTGCCCTTGTCCCCATAGCCCAGCCCCCAGCCCCTCACCCCTGAGAAGATCCGGGCCTTCAGCTCGGGAACCTGCTGCAGTCGGCCCTCGGGACCCACGTGCTGGGCCCACTCCTCCTCGGTGACTGGCGGGCCCCGTTCCACGGCTGGCCGAGGCCCCAGCTCCACCTGTGGACACAGAGCAGAGTTCAAGGGGAGGTGTCCTGGACATGTACCCTGATGTACAGGCTAGCGTTCAGGGGGGTGGGGGGTGGAGGGGGTGCAGAAAGTGCCTCTTTCTCGAGCTGAGTGGCACATTCACCCCAACTCAGGAAAGGTCTCCCAGTAATGACAGCTACCCGGTCAGGGCTTGGGGGGGGGGGGGAAAGGCTGCCACAGCTGTGACCACTTCCCCTGAATTCACCGCTGCATCCACAAGGAGGGTACCATGACCGCCCCTAATTTACTGAGTCAATAGAGGCCCCCTGGAAACCGGACGTCACCGCTCCAGTAGCACAGCCAGAGAGCAGCGACCTCTACCCAGATACTCACACAGGAGATGACCTCGAACCCAGGCTCTGGTTCATCATCTGGAGGTGGGGGGAGGTCGGAGGAGGCCCCCTCCAGGTGTGGCTGCAGGGCTCCCCGGAAAAAGTTGGTTACCCGGGAGAAGCTGCTGAAGGTTGTGGAGTAGGGATCCTGGAGAAAGCGCTGGAGGGCGGGCGGCAGGGCCAAAATGTATCCCTGTCACTCATCTCCCTCTCTACACTACAGTCCAGCCCTTGACACCCCCCTCACTACAACGTCCTCCTTCCTGTCCCACCCACTACACTTCCTCCTCCCCACTTCCTGTGTCTATGGTCCACCTTCTGGTCTCACGCACTATAGCCCACCCCTTCCCACCTTTCCCACTGCTGCCCCGCTCTGTTCCGCCCCACGGCAGCCTGTGCCCTTGTGCTGATCCTGGAGGCCCTACCCTGTCCGTTCTGCACGGAGGTCTGCATGGACTCACCGATACCACGTTGGAACTGTCCTGGTCAAAGAGCTGGAGGTGGTGAAAGGAATTGGAGAGAGCAGAGGAGTCGTGGGGGAAGACAAGGTAGAGGCGGGAATCCTGGGGCGAGCTGTGAGGAAGAGGTGAAGAACTGTGGTAAGGAATCAAGAGGTCAAGGGCCTTGTGTCCCTCGCCGGCAGGGCGGTGTCTGCCCTGCATGCACTCCCGCCCCTTCTTGTCGCAGAATTCCAGCTGTCCTTAGGGAGGCCTCTTCTCAGGCCCCAGGGCTCAGGGATGAAGGGGGAAGTTGGATCGCACCGAGGTCCAAAGGGAGGGCGCCCCACTTGCCTGGTGTTTGATTCAGGGATGAGCGGGGGAACACAAGCTGGGCCAAAGAGAAGCAGCCCTGACAACTTGAGGTTGGTGGGGTGGTGGTGAGATGATTTCTATCAACTAAGGTTGGAGAAATTTGTTTCTCCAAGTCACGGGTCCTCAAACTATGGCCCGCGGGCCACATGTGGCCCGCCGAGGACATTTAACCAGCCCGCCGGGTGTTTTTGCCCTTTTTTGTTTTTTTACTCCAAAATAAGATATGTGCAGTGTGCATAGGAATTTGTTCAGTTTTGTTTTTTTTAAACTATAGTCCGGCCCTCCCAATGGTCTGAGGACGCCTGCTCTATGTGGCCTTTAGACTTGGTTCATCGGAAAAGGGCTGGAGAGATTGTCCTTAAGCCCACAAGATTTATCTCAGCTCCAGTTCTGTGAAAGAAGTGGTTTGATGGTAACAAGGGGGTTAACCCCAGCTTGCTTTCTACCCACTTTTGTCTGGGTTGACTGACGTTTGTAGACACACGGTGGAGGTATTGTCAGAAGCCCCCTGGCTTTGGGGGGTGAGGGGGGAAGACTCACCATCAACATCAGCTCAAGGAGGTGCAGGCGGAGGTCAGAGACCTCCAACCAGCCTCCTCACCAATTCTGACACCAGTCATCCCTCCCACGCACTCTCCACTTCTCTGCTGGGTTCCAGGAGTGATTGCAAAGGAATTCACAGGCCACACGGATCAGGGAGTTTACGAGGGAAGCAACAGGTTCAAAGTGGGGTTCAGACGTGACTCCGGATACAGGGCTTCATCCGGATCCGCTTCTCAACTCAGTTCACCAGCAGGTCCTCTGCTGCTCAGGTCTCTGGGGCCGGCCTTACTGGTCACTTGCTTGGGCAGGTGACACAACCCTTTAATTCCACTGCCAGTGGCCAGAGGCAGCTTCCAAGCACTGACCGATAGACTATGCAAATGAAGACATATAGCCCACTATGCAAAGCAAATGTCTCTGTCCTGCCAAGAAGGGGGACTGGTCAGCTCGTGGGCCCTGGTGGGAGGGCCATACCTGGAAACGGACACACGGACTGTGTGTGTGTGTCCAGGCTACCAACCCTGCAGAGTCATGACAGAGAGGAGCAGAAGGA